CCCAAACCACTTTTAACTATCTTTACTTAAATATCACTCAATTTAAAGTACATGACCACTCCCCTTCAATGTTTACAAACATCATCCGTGCATCATTAAATAACTCTTTCCACTCCGAACAACACTGCCTCTAACCTCAATACGTCAAGTATCCCGACAAATTTTTCAGATGTCACTCAATCACACCTAACCTCTTCCCATACCGCGGGAAATACAGTTCAAAACATTTCCCCAGCAAAGAGAGGCTATCCATATTCTTCCCATTAAGGAAAGCAATTAACTATAGCCCCAACCCAATCCAACCTGATTCATATAATCCACAATCAACTACCTTACTCCCCAAAAAAGATTAATCAATGAGAGAAAGAAATAGCCTAAATTCATTGGCAGAATTCAACATTTAATATTCTCACCGTATCCCACTTACAATCACACAGGAAAGGAGGGACAAACAATAAACAAAATTCTTATGTATTGACAAATCAATTTATAAATATATAAAAATAAATGTATTATCACAACTCCAATAGGTAACGACATTTACATTACATCAGGAATATACCTCAAGGACTAGTAAAAGAAGGATTTGTTATAATCTACTATCACATCAGATTGCCAAACGTCACAACATTTAAATGGCCAACAGCAACCAACAAACGTACAACCTAATATTCTTTAAAACAACTTAAACTGATTCTTTTTAAAATGATAAGAAAACCAAGATTATAACACCAAGATTGTATAAAGTTATCTATAGCTCTAAATCTGCCATTAACCAAGAACAAGTAACGAACAGACTCCACCATGCTAACAATGACAATCTGTACTCCACGCATTCTATCTCCTCACCGAGAAGAAAGAACAGAAAAAACAAAAAAGAAATTTGAAAAATACAAAAAATAAAAAGAATTAGACCTTCTACCTTAATTCCCTACCAACATCACAAACTAAAGATAAATATATATACCTTCTTTCTGGTCCTAGCTTTTAAAACTTAAAATTTCCTTTTATATATATAAAAAAAGAACTCTGCATCTTTGGCTAATATCGGCGTAAATCGCTACTTAGTTTCCGCGCCAGACACAATTCAAAACAAAAAGATCATTATCAAATCAAATAAATTTAAATCTTCCCCGCGAATAACTAACACGTAAAAAAGTCATGAATTAATAAGATAAAGTTACTATCGATATACTTCTAAATCCTAATAAACTATTAGATTAAGCGCAAACATAACGAATCCATATGTTAGAGCGTACTCCGATCCCTCTGGGTCGATAACTCCGGTCCCTTCCTTGATCCTTCACCTGGTTATCCCGTTCCTTTGTTAATACAAGGTTCCTCAACCCCGCTGATCCGTTTCCTTGTCCTACGAGAAGGAATATTTCCACCCTATCTCCTAGAACTTCTGAAGATCATAGAGCATGTAATCATTAATTAATTTATCACCATACATTGTAACAAACACAAATACAATCCAAAATGATTCCCCGAATTCTACTAAAGTTTCATTTCATATTTATTAAATCTCCCCCATAAACCTCAAACTAGTGATCCCAAACCCAATCTATATCACAATAACTTTTCTATTTCAGAAATCCCAGCCATAAGGACAGCAAGAGAGAAATATTTATTCTACACAACTGACCTGTCACCCTTCGATCTGTTATGACTGCTTCCAGAGATATTCCTTCCTCCCTCCTTTTTCGCATATAATCTTATCGGTGGCGGTACCGGTTCCGTCGGTTCCTCCAACGGTAGAGAGATTCTAAGCACCGACTCCGTCGAGTCCGCACTCCCTTCCCTGGTCACCTCCTTATCCCCAGACGAATCCTTTGAACTCTGCTTCCCCTTAGCCTTCTCCTTCCCGTGCGAAAATCCTTCCTCCACCGTACCCGCCGGTCTGATCGGTGTCGACGTATTCTTCGATGATGGCCCGACTTCCGAATTAACAGGTAACTCATTCGGTACCTCAACCTCCATTCCATCGAAGCATTGCAGATCCGCAGAGAGGATAAATTCGTCACCTGCCGCATCAAACGAACAATTCGCCCCTTTCTGCGACAGGACCTCCTCAATATTGGCTGAATCATTCAAGCGGACCATCACACCCGCATCATCTGCCAGAGCCTCGACCGGATCCGTCTGGCTCGCGTCGAAATCACCCTCTGTCACCTCAATGTCCACTGGCTCCCTTGGAGGCCTTACATTGTTCGCCGGTGCCACCGTCAAGATGGTGAAACGATGAACCCCGGCTTGATCCAAAGATAATCGATTCCTTTTCCTTCTAATCATCCCTACTGACCGACCCTCCATTTCTAGTGTTATAATCAACCCAGATCTAGTATGTTTTGGTTTCATTGGAATTTATACAATGTGCCCCAGTACTCCCCCGGTGGGTTTCCTGTATCATTTATTTCGCGATGATATTAAGGGCAATTCGACAAGCATCCCTAGAGTTGCTTGTTATTTGCCATACATTATGTACAGCCTTCATAGGCATCAACTTACCTAAGAAGAGGAACGAGCGTTCCTTCTTCTACCCTAACCTAAATTAAAAAACTCCTTAGCCTCATTCGCTTCGCAAACCTTTTAATCTTCAGTTTTCGTCAATACATATGTATTTGAAGTCAATTAAATAATAAACAAGCATTAAATATATTACAGCACAAACTTATTACCATAATAGCTATTCTACTCGCAGTATCTTCAATCTCCTATTTTCTTCGTCAATAACTCTCTTGACTGCTTGATTAAAACCTCTATGCCCCGTGCCCCTCAAATTGGACACGTCGGCTTGATTAAAATAAAATTTAAGTTTAAAATTATTGTTGATTATTTCTAATTTTCGCTGATTCATATATCTATCAGTTGACACATAGCTACAAAAAAGTTTTGAGTAGCTTTCATCCATGCACAACACATTAGAATCTTTCACTCCGTACGATAAAATCAAATTAAACATTAAACAGATATAATCCCTAACATTTATTTGACTCGGTTTCTGGGTCAACGAGCTATTTCGCTTAAGTATCATTAATTGTCCGAATTCTTTTTTGTAATTAACGTAACCTATCTCATTCAAAGAATCTATATGATACACGCTATTCAACGCACCTGATGCGGTCATTTTCGACAGGTCTACGCACCACTCCCAGCGTCTAGTAAATTCCCCCCATCTAATGGTACCATCTCCTGTTATTGACAACAAGCTCAAACATTGGTACCTAACTGCTCTAATATGAGGGTACAATATAAGATAACTCAAGATTTTTGACCTCGTGACTTCAACGCAGTCTCTGTTCTCTGGCATCCAGACAGAAGTGTTGACTTTAAGTGTTAATCTCATTTTCGAGAGAATATCACTGATAGGCCTGGTTGGTAGCCACCAAATTTTCCTGCCTATATTAACTTTACTGTAGTTGTGACTACAAAACTCCACTTCATCAAATTTAAAACAGAACTTCGCACCTCCAGTGGTACCACTGCGTATTTTCTTATTTTGTAAATTTAGTGACTCTTCTATATTATCCACAATAGCTCTTGCGTATGGTAGGCCACAGATTAGGAAGGTGTCGTCACCATCACTCATCTGTCCAAGTTTTGTGATTTCCACGGTCTTATGTACTGGCATACCAGATTTATAACCAATCAGATAAGTGACAGTCGCCACAGTCTCGCAAACCTCTTCAAGTGACAATCCAGTAGCCTCTGAAACAGCTACCGCAGTATTCGCTGCCACTAATTTTGTGTTGCCTATGGAAGTCATCAGTTCACCACTTCCTCTCTGTCCACTCCTCAACCACGTATTCCCTTCATCGTCTACTGTGATTGGACAAGACATGTCCCTAAAGCACGTCATAATCGCCTGCCTTAACTCGGGTGGATAATAAGATGCCACATCGTCAGCTTCAATTAACCGTTCTTCCAAAGTAACAGTCGTATCCCAACCACTGTAATCCAAACATACAGCGGCTGGATCAGAGCTAGTTGTTTTGCCCGGAACCCTATTGACACGAACATCCACCTTGTCATTGTGCCCGTCTCTTATGTCTCTCACCTCTTCTGGACTGTTCATATCCCAAATGGCCTTCATGACGCGGCCTATATACATAGGAGGTGTGCCATTAATAGTTCCTTTATACAGTTTTTGGCTACTCGACTTTCTAAGCATATCACCTATCAATGTATAGTGCGCCAGTCTAGTTTGCGAATCTGCAAATTGTATGAAGCGATGGCCTTGTTCCAAGTAGTCTTCTAATTCACTTGGGTCAACTGTTATTTCACCGTCCTTAACACACTTTTTCTGCTTCGGTTCGTTTTTCGGACGGCAAGTGAAATAGCCAAAGCAATGTTTACCTGCCTGCCACTTTGAAATCATGGCAAGACTTTTTTCGTACCAATCCGGGTGTTTCTGCATAAAATCTGAGAGAGTGTGACCATCATCTAATGCGCCAGTACTTCCTTGATGGTTGACCATCAACATCACCTCTTCCTTTGTCAAGATTCGGCATTTCCCCTTAATGCTCTTACCATATTCGCTCGTGAGCAATTTCATTGCTCGGTAAATTTTCCGAAGAGCGCCTTGGTCCATGTGCCCTGGATTAACATCAAGGCGCTTCTTGATAGACGCTTTTTTCCACCTATCAGTGTTCTGCGTGTGGCAGAATGTGCTGTTATAGTCGTCCATTCCCCACACGTCTTTTTCAAACTTGGCAATAAGCCCATTCCTGATATTTTTAGGCATTAGAGATCTCCTCTTCCTTGTTATGGTGCCTATGCCAGATAGATAATCCGAGTCTCTAATTGCATCTGGGTTCCACCAAAGTTTCCTGTCTTTAATCACTGACACAAATTCAGCACACCTTTCGTCCCATTGAGGGTCCCACTCTTCCTTAAGGTCTCCTTCTGGCGTGCTAATGTCTACTCCTACCCCTCCGGGTTTGTTATCAGCCCTTGTTCTAACTTCAAAAACTCTGGCCGTAGTGCCTGGTACAAACCAGTCTGATCGCTTGATGACTTTCCAACCTCGCCCTCGAGTTCGAATGATTTGTTGCATTAGAATATAATGATATTGCTGCTCGTCGTTGATTGTTGCTATTAGCTTGCTCGCTCTGTCTAAAGTTGCCTCTGCGCCACCATAACCTTCCATTAATAAGTACCATTCTGGACTCGAGAGTCCAGTGGTACCCAGTTTGGTTGCCTTAATCTTACTAAACTTGTATGACAGGACATGGACCAATTGTATTACCCCATGCCACAAGCCATTAATTTTAATCAACGCTCTGCCACCTTTATTAAGAGCTTCGAACAAGTTTACCACCGCCGAGCAGAAGTCGACTTTGTTACGGTTCTTTTTAAACCAAAAGTTGTGATTGGTGACGCCGTCTTCACTATACTCGCCAGCATCTATTATTAGCAAATTGGCTCCACCGACTCGCGCGCATGTTTCTTTCAGGCGCGCAGCGCATCTCGGGTCTTTGATATTTCCCTTATCGACATGCTCAATTGTGGTAGCACTTATAATATCGACGTTGCTATGTGCGGTTTGTCTCAGTTCGCCTGTTGGAATACGATGCCCCTTTTCGTAGAGTGATGACATGATGTACACCTTAGCAGCCTTGCCGCTCATTGCGTGGCTATAGTACTCTGCAAATCCTCCATAGCCGCTGCATGGATCCAATATGACTTTGACGTCTTCAAAGAAGTGTGGATCACTCTCATGGAGTTGTTGAAGCTTGAAACCACCCCTGCTAACATATGCCGCCCCATGAGAACTTCTCTTAGGCAAAGCTACTCGACCTAATTTCTCAAAACTAACCCACGCTTCATAATTTAAGCCAGAGGCTAGCCTATTAGTTATTGCGCCTGCTGTTAAAACGTCTGAAATGGACGCATGCGTAGTGACATCGTAGTCCCCTCGAGCTTGTAACCAACACCAAGTTGGTGCAATTGCCAAGTTTGGTTTGTTCCAGCCCAGAAGGTGTCTCTGTTTGACAGCAGGGCCTTGTTCTACTTCCATCGGTTCAAAGTCGTATCTCTCTTCCACTATTCTATCTAAAACTTGCCTTTCTCTCGATATTCGCTGGGCTACTACCGTTGAGTTCCATTCGTCCAGCATATTTTTGGCTGTCCCACTGCTTTCTTCTTTACTCTTGATAGAGTCGTAGACATTACCGATGGCGCTGATCAAATCAGTTAAGATGTTCTGGTTATGATAAACTAGGTCTCTACTTTCATCCCTCCAAATATTTAGCCTTGGGATCCAGCTATTTGAGACGACACTAACATCTTCTCTGATGCAGAGTGTTCGTCGCCATGGATTTGATTCATACCAACCGTTAAGAACCAAGTTCAGCTTTTTAGTTATTTGTTCGTCTGGTGGCGTTTTCCTGAGATAAACATCTCTAAATTCGCTCGCAGTCTCTTGTATCTGCCAGCTGCTCTCATGTTTAGTACATGGGGTGAACATCAAGGAGCAAATAGAATCTTTGTTTGCCAAAATTAAGACGCTGCACAAGCAATATCCCCCAACAGTGCTTAAGTAGATACGGTCATTAAACGTGTAATACACGTTGAGTCCTGCCCACCACGCGCAGTGTAACCATTGCTCCGTAGCATCCAAGCCCCTATCTAAATTAATCACGCCAAAGAAGCCGATTTCACTCTGTCGAAAAGCCGGATCAGCTGAGTCACTCGCTCGGTACATCTTAATACAACCGCCATTATACTTAACATGCTTGTCTAGGTTCGAGTCCATTGTTATGGCAGATCTAACTAACCGCCATTTGTGGGTACAGCAATCTAATATTCTAGCCGGTAAGTGTATGTTAGAATCTAACTTATCTATTGAATCCTCGATAAGGATTCCACTCTCATAATGAGACCACAAGACCCATTGATACAGTAACCATTCTTCTGATGACAATTCATCGGGTTTGGCACACCATTCATCTGGAATCAAACCTAGATCAAAACTATTGTCTTTAATTTTCGACACTAAGCCAAAGACATTTGCCGCTTTATCTAATACGCCAAGCATAGCCGCAGTGGCAAACCGTTGCCACGACATAGTAACGCCATGGCTGTCCCAGTGGCACACATGGTTCGTTTCGGCCATCAACTGTTCGGGATTGTAGTTGACATATTGTCCGGATACCGCCTCGATGGCGGGGTGCAAACAAGCCAATTTTTGAAATATGACATCTAGTAACTTTTCAGGCGCCCTGTATGCAAGGATATAGTTTCTACTGCCGGTATTGGCACGCGTGCCAATCAGCACAAAGCTAAACGTCATAAATTTTTTAACTACATGCACAAAATGCACCGCAACGTTATCGTTGTATG